CCCCAAAACCCCAAAACCCCAAAACCCCAAAACCCCTTATCTAAAAATTATTATTGGAAATGTAATGATAGTATTTTAGCCACTCTAAGCTCATTTTGAAATTAAAATATTTGAACCTAGGACACTAAAATTCCCATCTGATTCCATTCAATTCACTCTAAACCCTTCTAACATCTCCTTACAATAACTTACGCCTTATGGATGATTATTACCTCTTAGAATACTTATGGTCAATCCTGGTCATCACAAAGCCACTGGCGCCATCAGACTTCTTTGTCAGCATCTTCAGCTTCTCTTCCACTGGATTTGGAGCAAAATTTGGAAAATTTTGCACCCCAAATTCCTTCTTGTTCAGTGGTGTGAAAGTCACTTTTTCAGAAATTTTCGAATTTTTAGGATTTTTAGAGTTTTTGACAATTTTTAGAATTTTTTGGTTTGGATTTTTGTGAAGGATTGGGGAAATTTGGCGCTTCGGGGTCAACTTTTGGCCGATGATTTGAGCTATTTGGAGTGAAGAAGAGGCTTACATTGGATCGAAGTCTTGCCATTGAGCCCCTTGTACCCACTGATGTAGGATTTGTTGTGCTCCTTACGCTTGGTGGGCACGGCGTTTGCAACTGGCAATTGACCAGAGTCTTCGATAGTGAGATTTATATTTGGAATATTGAACTTTCGACCAAATTCTAGCCCGTTATTACGCCGATGCTTGTTTTTGTAGTTTGAGATTATTATCTGGTTGTCCTCCATTTCTTTCTGATAGCCCGATATTACCTCCGGGTCGACTAGGATAGGAGGTAGAAATGTATTCTTTACATCAATCTTGTTCCCATTGTGTTGAGGAGATACCTTCATCGAGGCCTTTCCATTTTTGGCATTCTTGCCACTTAGACCTATCTTCTTTCTCTTCGGATCTCGAAGATCTGAATGATTCCTTTGAGTACGACAGATAGCAACTTTGTGTCTATGTGAGCAGAAACTTTTGTTGTCTATGATTTTCACACCAACATTACCCTTTCCATTATTGACTAATGGAGAAATATTTCTGATCTTGGGATGCTCATTCTTGTCCTTAGACAATACTGTATCATTAATTTCAAGGATGTGGTTTCTCCCATTCGTCGGATATCGAATGTAAGCCTTGCTTTTGGTTTGAGATTTAGCCTCCTGGGGGATCATTATCAACTCCTTTTGAATAGAGCTCTGATCTTTCTTAATCTCTATCGTCAAGTTTTGAGATGAGAAGGCTGGTTTGGCAAGATTGAGGTCTACAAGTATCGTAAAAAATCTTTCTTACTATTATCAGAGCCCAGTATGAAAGACTTCTTATTGTCCTTATCATTCTTGCTCATTTCTGATTGGTTTAGCTCCATTTTATTTTTCACGGAACTTTTGTACCGCTTCCATTGTCCAATAGGCTTCTTGTTCATAATAACCTGATTGTAGTGGATCTTGGACACTTTCTTGGTATTCGGGATGAAGGAGTTCTGGTTGCGGAAACCTCTTTCATTATTGATATATTTCTCGTAACTCTCTCTGACTAGGTTACTCTTTGATATCGAAATCTTCTCTATAAGTGTTACTGCCTGTTATACCTAGAATACCCTTGGTGGGGTCCTCAAATTCAGAGATCGAGTAGCTGTCACTGTTGTCAACTTCGCCCTGGGATGGATCGAAAGAGGCTTTCAGAGGTTGCCTTTTAATCGATTTTTTTATTCTTTTTGATAAGCTTTTATATTTCGTGTATTTTTGGTCTGGAAATACCACTACGTTGTTATTTACGGTCGAAGCTGTTCTTGAGATTTACATATTTGTTGTTCTGAGCATAGCTGGTGTCGCCTACAGATTCAAACTCTGGGTCGTAAGTCTTCTCCTGGTCTATTACCAAGTCATTAGTATTTAATAAAAGATGGTTTCTTACTCAGATCAGTAAAAGATTCCTTAAAATCTTGTTTTTGAGGGGACTATATTGATCACTCCAGGACTTTGGGAGTCTGGTTTTGAACTCTTGATCTTCTTTCCATCAATTTTTACTAACTTATGGGTATCTCTGTCCTTCTTGACTGCTGGAACAGCTGATGTGCCAAATTTGGGACTATCATGTACATTCTATAATTAGATTGCTTCACTTTACCAAAGATGGCATATGTTTCTGTGAAAGACTGCTCCGATGAGACTTAGGGTAGGAAGAGGTGACTCCTTTAGACTGCGACCAGCAACTTCTAGACCTTGAAGTGCAGCTTTTCTTCTCTTCCAGCCCTGCTCCTTGGTTGAGGTTGATAATCCTGATCTTCTTTCTATTTGTCTTTGAGTGAATATTTCCAAAATTATTATAATCTTTGGAGAAAGTTGGAGAAATCTCTTCAGGGATTTCTTGTTCTGGAGTTACCAGCTCTGATTCTTTTCTCTTGTCATGATGATTGTTCTGGCTGGGAAGAGGAATCTGAATGTTTATCTTAGTCTTTGAGTCAGTTTGGTTGAGTGTCTGAGCAGGTCTGACCGCTATTTCTTGTTTCTCCTTGAACTCTGCTGGTTTCTTTCTCTACATAATGAGCACAGGTGGATTTAGTACCGTAGAAATTTTATTTAACGCTTCCTTTTTCAGCCGAACTTCTTCTGTATTATTAATTTTTATCTCAACTTTGAACGAGATTTGTGACTCTTTTGGATTTTCTCCATTTTGTGATAGTTAGAATTGAGGATATTCGGACTATACTCCTGCCAGTTGTTTAGACTATCTGATTCGGATATCTTGGAGCGTAGTGGTGATTGGCTATCCCGTAACTTCTCTAACCAGACATGAGCATTTCATTCGCTTACCTTTTGAATCACATACATTCTTGAGGGAGATGACTTCTTTCTCTATAAGGTTATCAGGAGAGTACTTTTGCTCTTATTAGGGGCTTTCTTTTTGATCTTTTGCTTCCTGAACTTTGAAACTTTGTGCTCAGAGGTCTCTATTGTTGACATTTCCATTTATTATAATTCAGCATAATTATTAGATGATGGGGTTTTGGGGTTTTGGGGTTTTGGGGTTTTGGGG